CCAAGGGGGGTCCCCATCCCCGTGGTGGCCCCCCCATCCATGTCATAGCCCCAAGAGAGGTCCCCATCCATGTGGTGATCCTCCTCCATCCACATCATAGTCCCAAGGGGGTCTCCATCCCCATGGTGGCCCCAAGGGGGGGTCTCCATCCACATCATAGCCCTAAGAGGGGTCCCCATCCCTGTGGTGGCCTCAAGGGGGGTCTCCATTCCTGTGGTGGCCCCAAGAGGGGTTCCCATCCATCTAGTGGCCCCCCCATCCATCTGGTGGCCCCAAGGGGGGATCCCCATCCCTGTGGTGGCCCCAAGAGAGGTCCCCATCCACATCACAGCCCCAAGGGGGGGGTCCCCATCCCCGTGGTGACCCCAAGAGGGGTCCCCAGCACCTCCAGCTTCCACCCCCAGCAGTACCAGGACCCATCCCTGTCCCCCAAAATCCCCCTTTCCTCCATCCCCCTTGCCCCCAACTGTCCCTATCCCCATCCCCACGACCCCCCCCAGCTCTACTGACTGCCCCCCCACCCCACAGACCGACGTTTTCATCGCCATGGAGCTGATGGGCACCTGTGCTGAGAAGCTCAAGAAACGCATCCAGGGCCCCATCCCTGAGCGCATCCTGGGCAAGATGACGGTGGCGGTGAGCAGGGAATGGGGAGGGGGGGGAACATAAGAAAGGGGGGGGCACCACGAGGGACCAGCAAAGTGACACATCTCCCCTTCACGCAGATTGTGAAGGCCCTGTTCTACCTGAAGGAGAAGCACGGGGTGATCCACCGCGACGTCAAACCCTCCAACATCCTGCTGGACGAGCGGGGCCAGGTGAAGCTCTGCGATTTCGGCATCAGCGGGCGCCTCGTCGACTCCAAAGCCAAGACCCGCAGTGCTGGCTGTGCTGCCTACATGGCTGTAAGCAACAGGGGGGGGCTGGCAGGGGGATGAGCCCACCCTATGGGGGCTGGCGGGGGGAGGAGCCCACCCTATGGGGGATGGCAGGGGGATGAGCCAACCTTATGTGGGCTGGAAGAGGGAGAAACCCACCCTATGGGGGCTGGCAGGGGGATAAGCCCACCCTAAGGGGGCTGGCAGGGGGATGAACCCATCCTGAGAGGTTGGAGAGCTTCAAAGTCTTGGGAGCTGCAGTTTGGGTGCTGGGGGGGTCAGCAGGGGGGGTTTTCCTCTGAGGGTGCTTTGCTGTGGGTGTGGGTGTTTGGGGGGG